AAATGTCACTTTTAAATACCTCAGCTATTATGTTTGTGTTTGCATTACTTTAGGGATTTAAATGGTACCTTTTACATATTTTATCCAATTCTCTAATGCTCACTTGGTGAGTTAAAATGAAGGTAAATTGTGTAAATGGAACAGCTTGCTGGCTGTAGATAAGCTGATTTAAGCTACTGTAAGTGGGACTAAAAGTAAGGCACTTTGTTGTTCAAAAGACACATACACAGTTATGTTTTGTTTGGGAAAGTAACAGGTTTATTAGCATGTCAGTTTTAGTTTGAAATCAAAACATAGTCTATGGAAATATGGTAAAGACTGACAGCATCCTTGCCTTGGGAGGGGAAGGCTAAGACTGCATGTTTAGTGTTGTCAGGTATACGTTCAAATAATTCTTACTATATAACATTCTCTTAATATTTATTTGTATTTATGTGGCTCAAATGTCCCTCAGATATTTTGAGATATTTAATCTACATGGAGTTCTCTTCCCCCTTCTCTGCTCTACATCTAATATGCACAGCTTTTTCTTCTGAAAACGTGAAGTGCCTTTCCTTGTTGTCTTTAAAAGAGATCTCGCCAGTCTAGGAATGGTTGGCAAAGCCTGGCTGGTGGCATTCATGAGTTCCTCTTGGTAGTCTGCCTAGAAATCTTCTTCTCTGTTCCTTCACCTTCAAATTTGGCACAAGTTCTGTCAAGGATTGACTTTTGATCCTCGAAGTTGATGCTTTATTTTTAAATACTCACCTAGTCTGCATTTTTTGATACTAAGCACCTTTCACAGGTCTAATCTTCCCGTCTGTAACTTTCATGGATCTTAAGGGGAACCAGTATTACCCATCCCTCTAAAATAATTTTCATGAGTCTTAAGGGGGACCAGCATTACCCATCCCTCTAAATAACCTGGAGGGACGTGACCAATTACTGTCCTCAAATCTACTTGCCTTAACATCCTTTTCTTTTTGCAAAATACTTTGTTGCTTTCCTTCATTTATCTGTCTTTGGCTCATTAGCCACCAAATAACTGCTGAGTTTTCTTTTTCTGTGAGTATCTGAATTAAGATAAAGTCATTGCACGTTGGCACCATGTTTTTCAGCTCAGTCTGCCTTCCTTGCACGTCTACAGTAAACGTGTAATCTGCTTATGAGCTGTTAAGAAATTCTGCTATGAGGGTGTTCCTTTGAGTTGCATTAGTCTGCCACGAGGACCCATGATTACTTTTATGTGATACTAGTCCCTGAACTGGGGGTTTTGAGCTTTTCTGTGGATTTTCTGTGATTAGAGATGGAAATAGTCTTAAAAACTATGTGGAAGCTTAAAATGAGGTATTTATGTAATGCCATTCTGCATATGGTGCAGCAGATCAGCATGCTGTACAGCAGCTTCTCCATTTGTGTAAATCCTGAGTTTCTAAACGCAGTACAGAAGGAATGTAGGATAGATGGAAGGTAGATGGTAGTATTGGTAAGCACAAAAAAGTTGGGAAGCATGCAGATATGTAACACATAAAATTGTAGTAGCCATTACCCCTTAATCTCCCTCTCTCCCTGCCTCCCTCCTTCCCCGCTCACAGATTTTGTAAGTGAACTGGAGGGCAGAACCACTTTCCTGATGTACTGGAAGAGGCTCCTTTTCTTCCTCATCCTGCCAGGGGGGAGTAAGCAAGGGGCTGTGTGAGGCTTAGCTGTTGCCCGGGGTTAAACCACAACAAATTATTAGTTACAAAGCATGTGTTGTGTCATAAATGATAATACAGAAGTAACATGTTTCTTCTGGCTTAATAATACTGTTCACTGGTTTATTCTCCCTTAAACTTCAGTGTAAATGTAGCTTTCGGTAATCAAATGAGTACTTTTCTGTGTAAACACGCAGGGTACGTATTGAGAAATTAGATTCCAAACTACTGTGATGCTCAAAAATATGCAAAATCCATTTTTGTAAGGACAAGGGCTCTTGCAGTAGTTCTTTGCAAGACAGTTTTGATGATAGCAGAGAGTGCAAAGTGGCTGGCAGGGAGCCACGGTCTGGCCCTGGCTGCGCGCTGTCTGAGCTGCCTATTGCTTGTACGCAGCCTTGCCAATGGAAGAGTGGAAGTACAAGAACACATCGTGGTTATGGTGTGCGTGGGTAGCAAGGCAGCAAATACTACTTTTTTTCCTGATGTGTTCTGTAATGTAATAATGGATTTTTCACAAATTTTTCTGCGTGAAATCCACTGGAACATACAGAATTGTTCTTTATGCTGCTTGAGAGAAATGACTTAACATCCATCAGTGCTTTATACCTAGTTTAAAATGACCAGCGGGAATACCCTGAGGAGGGAAGGCAAGGCCATGCAGTCTGAGGGCAGTTACTGCCCATGTGACAAAAAATGGCAGCCAGCCTTCGTTCTGTTTTCTTATGGTAGACAGCAGGGCAGGAGAGAGGCGTTGCTTTCTGCTTTACATTTCTCCTCCGGGCAAGGAGGCAGACTCTCCACAGTACTGGAGGGGAAAGTCAAAGCGCTGGTAAGGATTGCGTGACTCCTCTGGGCTTCTGTCCTTCAGACGGGTCTTCACAAAGATAGCCCAAGTGAATTTGCAGTCGCACAATTGCCATGGGCTTCACTAGGAGCTAAAACTTCACTGACCTTGAACATTAATCAGAATCATGAGTTGTTGCTGCTTATGTATCTAGCTGCTGTTGTTACACAACTAAAATCAGAAAATAGCCTACTTTTCTCTGCACAGGAATCTGAAAGCTATTCAGGCCAACCTAAACTGAGCTGCAACTGCAAACGAGCAAGCTGGTGCTGCTGGGCCGTTCTTGCCAGTGCTAGCAGCAGCTCCTGTGCTGACAAGATGGCTGGTGCCTACACCACAGGTCTGTCTCAGTGCAGGGGAAGGGACTGTACAGAAACCCAGTGCTGCTTCTCCAGTAAAAGCTACCTTTTGTGCCATGGATTTAACCCAGGACCGTAGGAGGTCAGCAGAAAGGTTTCCTTAGGGCTCAGAAAAAGGGCTCTGTCACAGAGATGTGTCTCTTCGATGGTGCATGGGTTACTTTTAAATGCGGTGTTTCAGTAAACGTAGGACAGAGAGTGAGCTTCGCTGAGAGCGGCAGGGACGGCCGTGTCCTGTTTCGGGCTCCTCTGGGTGAAGACTTGCGGAACAAGGGGCTGCCGCGCTTGCAGGGCGCAGGGCCACGGAGGTGCTGCTCGCAGGGCTGCGCTGTCCCAGCTGCTGCCGGCCTGCGAGGGGAACTGGTAATGACAGCGGGCCCTGCCTAAAAAATAAAACAGTTGGCGTTTGAAAAGGGAGAGCGAAGCTGCTGGGAAAGTATATCCTAAGAGGGGATGAGCTGCTTTGGTCTTTCATTTCTGTAGTCCTTTGCGCAGAAGACATTTGTGGCTCTGCTCTCTTCACCTTCCGTGCCAGAGCCCTGCAGGGCATCCCCCTGGTTACAGACTGCGGAGATGTGCCTCTCTCCACTTAGACTTACTGATTGCAATTGCAAGTGTCTGATTATTGCCACACAGTTTCTTTATATATGTGACGAGAAAAGACTAGACCCAAGAAAAACATAGGAAGGGGAGAACATAAATAAAAACTGTAGGTCTTCATTCCTATTTATTGTCATACGCTTAGTAAAAAGCACGCTTATACCAAAAATCACTATAAATGTAATCGTATGTTCCCTGTAGCAGGTTGGAGTAAAAAGGTGTATTGATGCTATGCTTAGAGAGAATTTGGAGCATTTGACAGTTGTTTTTTTAATTACTTTTCTTTTTACCTTTTGACTGCTCTCGTCACTTCATTTTACCCCATTACTGTATTTTCTCATTTCCTAAGATTAGGAATAAAGCATTGTGTTAATTTTCCATTTAAATTTTTAAGCTAGTGTTCATCTCTGAATGTAAGAACTAATAACCAGAGATAACCATTTCACTGCAAAAAATATCCTTTAATTATCTTAGCGAGTGGGAATAGTCTCAAATGTGAGTACAGTGCATCATGCTGAAGGAATGACAGCTGAGGAGAACTGTCATCGGCAGTTCTCATATACCGCACCTCCTCGCCGGTACTCATGAGCTGGATGGTGACTCCGTTGCCTGATGAGCTTCTTCAAAGTGTTGACAGAAATATGTGACTTCTTCAGATAAAGGCTGGCCAGTGGCCATGCCTTACTTGGAAAACGCGAGGAGTGGATGTAGCTCTCTAGTCAGGAAGGAAGTAAAGTGACCCAGAAAATGGTGCCAGCATTCAGAATCCATTGCTTCTGGTATTTTTACTGAACAAGCACTTACAAGCATCAATTAAAGACTAAAGTTCCAACTCTTGGATTCAGTTTAAATACAGAATATAATTGCATGCAGAGTGATTCATATAGGTTTTGGGTTTTTTGGGGTACATGTGCTCTGAAGGTCATCAGGCAGGCATGATCCTGAGAGTATGATATGAGAACCAGATAGGACATGTTTTCAGTTCATATAATTTTAGTGAAAGATTTAAAAAGAAAGAAATTACAAGCTTTTAAAAATAAAACATGTTTGCATGTGTCTATGTTTCTGACAAACGAAAAACATACTATGAGTTATGACTATATATGACTTTTATATAATGTTTTACTTTTTTTTTGTTAAGGGTCTTATAATTTAAATTCACATGAACATTACATGTAATTTCTGTGTATATAAGTTCACTTACAATTACTGCAGTTTAAAAAACCTGAACATTTGTCTTCTGCAATTTTGAGAACATAGTTTATGTGATACATTTACTAATGCAGAGTTCCCATGACCGCAAAATTGTCTTTTTTCCAAATGGTATATGCACATACTTCATGAAGTGCTCTACAGCTTTGCAGAAACTAGGGCAAGCTCTGTAAATAGGGTATTTCAGGTAATTATTAAAATTCTTTTTTTATGCCACAAATAAACGGATTTATTCTGTAGTGGATGTTTTTCGGAGATTTCTGTGAAATCTCTAATAACGTTGCTTAACTGTTGTTTAACCCACAGGTACATTTATGTTCCGATGGGAGGATCTCAGTCCAGTCTCCTGGGAATGTTGTTTTCCACAGCCCTCACTTTTGCCTTTGTAAGCTATTGGCATGGAGGGCAAAGTTACCTGTGGTACTGGGGCGCACTTAATTGGCTTGGAGTAATTGTGGAAAATGGCGTCAAGAGGATACTTTCTATGTCACTTATTCAAGGCTTAATTGTAAGTTGAATCTCTCTTCATTTCATGTTCTGCTTTCCTGGCTCCGTGCTCATCTGAAGTTCTGGTTACTCGTTTGGTTTAATCTGGATTAAAAGTCGTAGATAATAGATAAAGAGTTAGTTTTCCCTTGACACACTCCACTATTTGAGGTAAGCCATATAACTAGAATTTTGCAATGTATCAGCAAGGAAAACACTGAAGTATGCATCTTAAAAGCTGGTGCTGCTGTCCTAGAGTAAGCAGCTGCTTGTCAGGTTGTATATGGCTGAACAGAAGCCAATTTTAACGTTTATATTCTGATTTCACTCAGGATGGCTTTAAAATATTAATCTTCATACAGTTAGGAGTGTAGATTTCTAACTGTGTGTTTCCTGGATATACGCATGTGTAGCAGCTGCTTGCATCTGGGAACAAGCTTACGCTGGGAAATCTTATGCCACTAAAGAACCAAATAAAGAAAATATTCTTTTGCTTTGAAGATCTCTGATACTTTCACATTATTTATACTTCTGACCTTCATGCTGTCATTTCGAAAAGACAAAATTGTCTTTGACATGCAATCATATGCAAAAAGCACTATTTTAATTTTCGTGATCATTTTAGTCTGCATTTAGTCTATTAAATCCTAAATCTTCTAATAACTGTTTGTAAGAATAAATAATTCCTATGTCTTGCTTCCTTAGTAGTGATAAGCGCACAGAATTAATACTCCTGTATAATGTTGTGGTGGTGGTAACTCAACCTGTGTCCTGATGAAGTCCACATGCTCAAGTAATTATGCTTGTTCTCCATCCCTCCCATCTCAGTTTTCACTGTTGTGGCATCTCATGTGTGGCAAATGATACAGCTAAGTAATTTAGTAGCCAATAACAGCCAGTACTACCTTATATCATCCAACTGTCCATCACTGTGAATTCAGTGACAGTCTGGAAGCAGCTTGCTTCCTTCCTAGAAAATTAGTTTATTAGATCTATGAATCCTCCCTCTAGGGTGAAACTGAACTTCAGCATCTGACTGGCTGCATACTTTTGTCTCTGGACTGGAAGACAACATAGTTTTTTAGGCATCCAGCTGTATGAGAAAATATAAGTGTAGGGGCTTTTTGTATTTCATGTCACTGTATTAGAAATTTTAAAAGAACTCTTGAGGGATTAAGTGCTTAAATACCATAGAAATGATAAGGATGTGGCGTTATGAAGGTGGGGTTGTATGTGTTGAATTAATTTCTGACATGTAATTCTAATTATAGTTATCCAGTTCTGGCAATAGAGTTCTTTTTTTGTATAAATTGACTCCGTAACAATGAACCAACTGCATTTCATAGAACCATAGAATGCTTTGGGATGGAAGGGGCCTTTAGAGGTCATCTAGCCCAACCCCCCTGCAGTGAGCAGGGACATCTTCAACTACACCAGGTTGCTCAGAGCTCCGTCCAACCTGACCTTGAATGTTTCTATGGATGGGGCCTCCACTACCTCTCTGGGCAACCTGTTCCAGTGTTTCACCACCCTCACTGTAAAAAATTTCTTCCTTATATGCAGTCTAAATCTGCCCTCCCTTAGTTTAAAACCATCCCTCCATTTTCTCCCGTTTGGTTTCATCCAGTGTTTTTAAAGGCCTATCCAACGTCTCCCATGTCTCTCTTGTTTTCCGTTTCTATTTGGAAGCATGGCTGTAGATCTTCCTTAGAAGACACTTTCACATCTTTCCCTGAAATATTGCTGAAGGCACTATTTTCAATGTGAATAGTTTTGTCATGTTAATTAGTGCATTAGGCAGATCTTGCTGCATTTGGTTATGACTGAGACGTGCTTTGCCATGTGCCTGGAAGGTTTCTCTACAACAACATGAGCTACAGTCTTTGCAAACTGCCCCTCATTGCTCTGTCCTCACTCTTTGAACAATCTCCCATGTTCTTCTTGAACACTGAGACTGGGGAGCAGATGAGTAGTTGGACTTTCACCCTTCCTTATCAAGGGGTGGAGTAATGTGAGGTTCTCTAAGAAGCATCACTTACATTTAAAATGAACTGCAAATTCCCTAATGCCCTGTATAAATTTCCTTTTTTCCTTTGTAATCTGGCTTTTGGAAGCATTCCTGTAACCCTGTCTCAGCCAGAGGTGTGCTGCAAGCCTAGTCACCGTGGTGTTGAGAAACCTGTTCTGGTGGATGGGTTTTTCACTTTAAATTTATCTGTTGACAAGTTGAAATCCTTTGCATTCTTGTGCTTCACTCGCTGTGTTGGCTCTTGAAGGCTATTTTTGAAAAGGAAAGTTTATTTTTGTCCCCAGAGTAGCAGATGAGTTTCTGAAAAAATACAAAGCACAGGTATATGCTTTTTATAACCCATTCTATTTACCAAACCTCCTCATATATTGTTGTTACAGTTGAGTTATAGAATTCGGTTGAGCAGGAGGTGTCTAATTAGCAAAATGTATTAAAAAATCTTGAAGAATAAGTTGAATTTTATTTCTGCTCTGTTTTTAGAATGGAATTCATCACAAAGAATAACAAGAATTATATCAAAACCACTTCCCTTTTTTCTCCACTATATTGTTTCAATTCTCTTGCAAAAGAAAGATTTAGAAATCTAAATAAAGCACCTTTGAGTCTCATCCATCTCTGAATCCTTGTGCTGACTAAAATATATATATAAAAAGAAGTGGACCCTATATTTATGCAGATTTTATGGTAGTTTAAATCTCAGCACTTGAAACCTACCGCAATATGGGTAAATAAACAGATTTTGTAGCAGTCTGACAGGTTTTAAATGTCATCTCAGGCATATCAAACTAGAATGAACAAAGAAGCATGAGCATTATTTGTGAGAAGTAAAATCAGTGTATAAAGAAATATTTACTGAAAAGAGTAAATTTCCTGACCCCCAAAACTGTTTCTGAAACTTTTAGTTCTGGTTGCAAACCAGTACCTGGCTTCCTGATTTCAGATCTAAAAGAGCTCATGCTCCTTCTTAGGTACTTTTCAGCTTACACTGCTCTGAACTTTCATGTTTCAGTGAATTGTGTTGTGAGAAGTTATTTATGTATCTTTTTTTCCCCTAGGGATTATTTGTTAAATATCAGTAAATTAGAGCTGAATTAAGTAATATTGTCTTTTCATTAAAAATTTTATATAAAACAACAATAAATGCTATGCATCATAAGCTAGGATGTAGCTGGGAACTTGTATTAAACTGGAGAAGTTTCATTGTGTTTTTATCAGTTCTTTTTTTCTTTGTTTTTCAAGAGTTATTTAGACCAGCACTGAGCAAAGCTGTGCTTTGTTTCAGTTTCTGTATTGATTTCTTACAGCTGAAGAGAGACTCCAGTAGTAACTCGTTTGAAATCAATGACAGAATTTGTATTGACTTTTAATAAGTGACGTGTCAGATTTCAGAAAGAAAATGCTAATGGCTATCATTCTTCCAGTGATTTAAATTTTATTCCTTCTCCTTTTTCCTGAAGGAAAACAAGATATAGATCTATACAAGAAATTAGATCTTGGTATAAAAATAGGTTTAGAATGATTTAAACCTTAGAATATCTGACAGCACCTTTAAACCAATAGACTTTTAAAAAAGAAATATTCAGAAATCATCCAAAAGAAGATGTGGCACAGGGGGTGAATTTGGCAGATTCTTAAAATTAATGTTTTAATTTCAATTGAAACAGCAACATCTATCTTCTTAGTTCTTTCATAAAGTGAAAGCATGTCATTCAGTCTAGTAAGAATTTTTAAAATTGAGACATAAAGATCTCTGTTCTAAAAATCATGCTGTAATGAATTTCTAGTTTAAGATCTTATTTCTATCTTTATTTAGTCTAACTAATTTTAAGCATGGCTTATTTTAAAGTACTTTGTACTATCCTTGTAAGTGTTTTGGTTTTTTAAAGTATAAAATACTTTGATTCTACATTTTCATTTATGGCTGTAATGAGGTGCACTAATTAAGTCCATTTCAGTACACTGTAATTGCCTTTCCAACCCCCCATAAAAAAAGGGAAATATTTTGTGTGATGTCCATGTTTTTGGTTAGTGTGTTAGATTAGATTTGGTCAATGTGTTGTTTCCCCCCCCCCTCCCGAAGAATGAACTCCATACATTTGTCTCTCTCTGGTTAAAATATCACCATTGTTTTGGGTACCAGAGATGTGGTCAATGAGAACTGGCATCCTCAACTCCACAGAAAACAGAATTTTAGATGTATTTCAAGAAGTTGGGTGTGGTGAGGGGCTTTTGTCTGTTTTTTTTTGTCTGTTTAATTTTGTTTGCTGTTTCTTTTGCTAGGTGCATGAAAATTTCTATAGTTATTCGTAGTAAGTTATGTGTTATGCAGTGATCCTGCAGATGCTGGTGTAGAGCATGGAAAGGCACTGACTGGTGGGCCTGACCTGTGGGCTATGGTTCAACAGGGAATTAAGCTGATCTAACGGCTCACTGCTATTGAAGGGGGAAAGGTTGAATTTCCCTTTTCTCCCTTCCTTGCAGTCGAATCACTGCTTCCTCTGCACGCCTTCTGCTGGAATCTTTGCTGAGCTGACCTAGCTCTTTACCCCTGCAGAAAGCTTTTCTTCTTCTAGTTATTTTATTGCTAGATGATTTGTCTTGTGGAGAGGAGTCTGAAAAGCACCCAAAGCAGTACATTGTAAGAGACAAAATGCAAGGAAAGGAAGTGGTAGAGGCGGAGCTCAACTACTTGCAAACATAGATAAGCAGTACGGCATAGTAGGCTGAGACTCCATATTTAGAGTCAGTGAGTCAAAGAAACCAATTGGGTTCTGCTGCAGTAATTACTCAGCCCTATGTTAGGGCCCAGATTCAGCCTAGCCAAGTTAAAGATTCCTGTGAATTTTACAAACATGTCCAATGTACACTGAGCAAATGCGTAAGTATCTCCTTTAATGACAAAATTTCTTTTTGCAACTATAAATCACTTTTAAACTACCATGAGATAACTATAAAGCTTCCTTCTGCAGATGGCTGAGGCAAGATCTGACCAA